TTATATGCATATATCTAACAATAAGAGAGATTGGTTAGTAATAATGTAAACGATTTAAATTGTTTTTTGTTATGATATAGCGAAACCGAAGATGATTGGGAGACAAGAGTACAGGATGCCATTTTGGAAAAATGCGGGGAGGGCGTAAAGATACTCCACATTCGCATAGATATCGGTAGCCGTGAAGGTTGTGTTTATATGAAATGCATGTCACAAAAAGATGCTGGTGAAGCTTATAGAGCGTTACACGGATGTTGGTTTGATGGTATGTCATAGGCTATAAGTATTATATATGTAAAATATCATGTAAAATTTTCATATACTATTCACATGGTATTATTGCAATATTGTTGCATTGTTACAAAGATATATGAAATACTAACATAAGAGTGTTAAAAGTAACATAGATACATAACTTGATATCCAATAGAATAATTGGAATCTTGCATACTACCTATGCCAGTGTTATATCAATTCTAAAATAGTTAATATTTTAATAGAGAACAATGTCATGCTTCTAATGAATTTTTTCTCTTTTTTTCCTAGGTAAATTAGTGACTGTGAAGTACCTGAGATTAGAGCGTTATCACGAGCGATTTCCGGATGCCGCTCGTTGTATAACGCCTCTCAAGCCAAGTAATAATCAACGATTATCCATGCAAGCGCATTATTGGCAGAGTCCTGCCGAGGCAAATTAACAATTGGCGTTTCTGTTTGGATATTCGCAAGAAGAAGAATGAGCTCTCATGTCTGATCATACGCATAATTACTTGCTGACCAGAACTGACAGAACCTTTTTACCTTTTTTTTCAAAACTTATAAAATATCTTTGCGTGCTACAGCGTAAATACATAATACAGGATTGAAAACGCTTCTATTTTACAAGAGCATTTTTCTTTAATTCGCTAAATTGCGTATTATATTTTATATCTTTTAACTTGAGGACAGAGAAAATAAGTGTTTTTAATAGTTGAGTAATAATAATTAATATAATATTAATAATCAGTAATGTTAATATAATTAAATATGCTTTCAAAGAACTGTAAAAATATTTTAATCTGAGTTTTTTAATAGTATTTTCAAGTAGCAATACATATGCATAAATACAACACATATCGCATTCTTTATAGGCCTATCCAGCTTGATTTGCATCAGTTATATAAAGCATATATGCACAGAAAAGATAATCGTTTGTTTGATATACAGAAGATTGCAATACAGTTTCCTTTGTAATTAATTCGACTTTTCTGTGCATATTATGATTATCATTGGTAAAAATACATTCAATGATTTAAAGACATGATATTAACATATTAATGCTTTTTCTTGATAAAATTATTTTTTATGATGTATATTATAGAAATGTACAGTGTTTGAAGAATATATAAAATTAAGCAATTTTTAAAATAAAAAGAAAAAAATATAAAGTTAAATGATGAACAAAAATTGGAAAAATTAATTTTATTTAAACAGTAATAAAAAATTGTATCATAAAAAGGATATAAAGCTATTAGTGTATCAAATAAATTTAGTCGGGATACGGCAATAGAGCGTCGATATATCTCCAATATTATAAATTTATTTTATATATTTTTTCTATGAAAGAATACATATTTCTTACATCAACTATCTGAGCCGATTTAATTTTTTTGATCGCGGTATTTGCCGCGAGGGCGTTAGTGCACGACGAAATTTTCAAGTTTGTCATAACACGTTGAACATAACCTAGAATTTGATTCGCGAATGACGGACGTGTTACGAATGCGCTTAATTAATTAGCTGAATGCTACAAAATACTTGCACATATGAAAAGTTAAGAGAGTAGTGCGAGGAACTTTTGTGTATAAAAGGATTAAAAATGAAATATTCTACTTCGCCACCGGCGAGTCGATGTCATTCGCCTGTTCCGACAGAATTCTCATCTTCATTGCCAATGCCAATCGTTTACAGGTACTATGTCATATTATTTGTATTATTTTTTTGTTTTGTTTGAATATCTTTTTATAATAAAAAAAAAAAAACAAAAACGATTATCACACTATAGGCATAATTGTATGGGTGCTGCGACAAAATGTTACAAGTATTTGAGAAAACTGCTAAAATTCGAACAAATGGACTTTGAGTTTGCTGTTTGGCAAATGATATTTCTATTTGTAGCACCGCAGAAAGTATATAGAAACTTCCAAAACAGAAAACGTATGTTACCACTTAATAATATGCTGAAAGATATATGATATATTGAGTTGTCTAATATACTATATATTTTTGCAGAAACAAAATCACAATTTGCAAGAGATGATCCTGCATTTTTAGTGCTGGTTACATGCTGTCTCTGCGTGTCAACCATTGGTTTTGCTATAGTATTAAGCTTAAGATTCTTCCAATTTGTAAAGTTGTTATTTTATATGGTTTTCATCGATTACATAGGTGCGGGATTATTAATAGCGACAATATTTTGGTAAGTATATTAAATATCTTCAGATTTTTTATCAAATTGTACCTTTCCGAATGATATTCTCTTTTATAATAAGTTTTATATTTCCTCTTTTACAAGGTTTGTAACCAATCGGTATCTCAGGATAGACAGAACGCAAGATGTTGAATGGGGCTATACATTTGATATCCATTTAAATGCAGTATTTCCTCCTTTAATTATACTTCATATCTTACAATTATTTCTATACAATGGTATGAAATCCTACATATATATGTCTTCTTTCTCCTCTATCATATCAAATATTTAACTAAAAATTTTTCTCTTTTCCAGCTTTGATAAACAATGATACATTCTCTGCACGATTAGTTGGGAACACATTTTGGTTTATAGCTGCCAGTTATTATATTTACATTACATTTCTTGGTTACGCAAGTAAGTATATACATTAAAAGTGCAAAGTTTTTGCTTTATTTTGTATAATCTGATATGTATTTTGTATAATCTGATATTTGTATAATCTAATCTGATACTTGGTCTCTTTTGTTATATATATATTTATTGTTATTCTCACATTTCAGATATTGAAATACTTCATAAAACGCACTTGATATTATCCACATTACCGATAATATTATTAATATATATTACTACATTATGTGCGGGTGTCAACGTCAGTTACTTAGTTATGGAATTCTATCGTTATCGGGCTTTATAAATACGTTTTGTCACATGACTGCGAGGTGTGCTGAATTTTTATTAAATCCGCCTCTTGCATCGACATTAAAATAACCTGTTTACATCCAAATGCGATAAAATTTGTAATATTTTTATTTTGCATTAAAAATATTTTTAATAATATTTATTTTTTCTTTATGTATTTATGTTAGGAAACTTTGTAAATGCGACGTTTCAAATACAATTTGCGTAACAACAGAAGGAAAATGTTATGTTTAAATTTATTATGAGAGAGATACACCGAGATATATTTTATATATATAATCTAATAATTTATAAAATATAAAATATAAATATAAAACCATGATGTATATACGAAAATTTAGACGATAGGTTTGTGTTTCGAAAAATGTCTAGAAATTTTAATCTAGTGAATATTAAGCAATAGCCATCTTTGTTACGCAATTCTTATTACCAGAAAAGAAAGAGATTGATTGGTTACTGCGTCGCTCTTTCGATATATCTGCAAGAGCGAAATTTTCACCTCGTAGAGCTTCATCATGATTTCTGGGTCTATGCTTCATAACTGACACCAACGCCCTCCGAGATCATACAATGAGCATCAATGAACTAATCGTAAAATTTTAAATTGTGTCTATGATTTATTATTGCCAGCGTTCTTTTTTGCGGCTTCGTGTTTAATTTTATTTGCTTGACTTCTTTCCTATCGAATATATACATAATGAGTACACAAGCTTCTTCTGCAAAAATGAAAGAATTACGTTTACCAATCTCAAGGGTAAAAACAATCATGAAGAGTTCTCCTTATGTTGATACTGTCGGACAGGATGGATTGTACTTGGTTACAAAAGCTACGGTAAGAACGAAATATATAAACTTGAGGTTAAGGCTATATTCATTTATAATCGTATTACAATAAGTTTGTTAAGACGAATTCGGTAGGAATTCGACGATAGAGCGTATTATAATTTACTAATTAGATCTCGCTATTTTATTAATATCTCGATATATTGTCTTGGTACAATTTTACAGGAACTCTTCATACATTATCTAACAGAGGAGGCACATATGCAGAGTAACAAAGGATCTTCTTTGGATTATAAACACTTGGCAGAAGTGGTGCAGACAAACGACACACTGGAATTTCTCAGAGAGATAATGCCCAGAAAGATTACGGTCAGACAATTTAAGGAAATGATGGCAGCCAAGAATGCATCTCACAGTAGTTCCTCTGAAAGTAGCTCAGACTCAGACAGCGATAGTGATACAGATACAGATTCCTGCTCGGACAGTGACGAAACAAAAGCAGAAAATGGGAACACATCAGGCAGTGAGCGAGAAAGTGAAACTAAAGAGAACGGTGCCTGTCATTCGGATAGTGAAAGCAGTGTAAAAAGTGATAGCGAGGACAACAAGAGATGAGTATCATTGATCTCTTTATGTCCGACAGATAAACGCTTTGATTATTTTACAAATTTATGGATTGTTTTTTATAAAATTATCTGTACAGATCTATTAATATAAAGATCTACTAATATCAAGATTTATTGTGTATCTATATCAGTAGAAATACAAAGCAAATGGAATAACAAAGGCCCAAAATGACACAAAAGGCTATGAAAGATTGTTTTAAAGGAAAAGATATTATTTTTATATGTCTGCAATTGATGATAAATGCTTTCATTTATATTTTTGTATATATCATATAACATTCATTGATATCACATAAACACATTCATTTAATTATATTGATTATGCAATTAATGTTTCTTATATCAAAAATTATGATATTTATTCGTAATCGTGCACATTAATACATGTATAAAACTGGAGATTTTTATATATGATAAAAATAAATTGCAAATATCCTTACACACATATCTTGTTTTATTTGGAGTCTAATAATTTTTGTATCTTATATAATAATTGTTGTAGAAGTAGCATGTTTTTAAAATTTTCACATAATATAAAGTTAATAAAGCTAATTTTATACGTTAGCTTTTGTGTGTAATTATTAAATGATAATATATATATATTTATGTCTTTATATTTGTTATAATATTATAATACATATGTTCAAAATAATCAAATAGATGCAGTTTGGATGCTAGTCCTGATGCGACTTTATCGATTTAGATGTATCAAAATCGTTTTCGCTTAATTTCAAAGCTAAAAAATAAATCTCGGCTAATGCCACGATCAACGCACAAATTATACCTAAGAGTAATCTAAATCCGAAGTCTAGGTTTCCAACTATAAGCTCTACCCCGATGAATCCAAAAGCAAAGCCAGCTATCACAGAAAATATAAATTGCGCAACGGCAATCAATTGTTTATTTATCTGCCTCACTGCAAAATAATATTAGAAAGAGAGACATAAATTCTTTTACCAACACAGAATGATTAAAAACATTATATAACAATAGTATTTTGTTTACTTTGATATGCAATGCTATCTTCCGGTAGGAATTTCCGCATGGAATCGATGCTCTTCGTCATTTTTTGATAATCCCTAGTGTTTTGTTGCGCCTTTAATTTTTGTATTCTAGCCTCCAACTCTGGATTTCTTGGCGTCTCCTTTGGCGTTGGCAATATCACATCAGAATTATCGAAAAGTTCATGCAAGTAAATCATTTTTGTTGCAGTTTCTCTATATTTCTTTAAATATTTATTCAACCAGCTAAAATCTTCAATTTTTAACATAGCATTTGCAATTTTTTCTTTCTTAGATTTCTTAGATTTGCATAAAAATGTGATACCATTTGGAGCATCATTTATGTCTTTCACATTATTCAAGATAAAATCTATCAATCTTATAGAGGGTTTTATTGTTATAGTGGGATCTGTAATCGATTCTAATGGCATATTTACGTAAATTTTTATGTAAACTATTTTTTCTTAATAACTGGCATAGATTAGGTCTTTATTAAATACTAAAAAGCAATATGTAGATTAAAAATTAATGCGTTATCTTATGGCGTAATGTGTAACTTTTTTTCCAAATCAATATAGAATTCCTCTATCTCGTTTTCTTTTTCTTGGAAAGTTTGATCTACTCTTTGACATTTATCACTCATATCATTTATAAATTTTTCCCACTCCTTTCTTCTGGCTAATCTGTTTTCATTCAAAACACTGTCCTGTAACATCAAAATATCCACATAAATTCAATTTTGCCTTACAATATCTCGAAAATATCGATTTAGATTGTAAGTATAAAATCTATTCAATATACATACACTATCAAAATTTTCTTCTCTTTGTAAAACACGGCTACACATACTCAGTGCAACATCCACATTTGCTTTAAGACTAGGTAAATGACAATCTCCAAGTTGTTCAGTGCGATCTAACTGGCTTTCTTTCAATTCTGTTGAATATTCAAGAATTTTAAAAAGACGTTCCACTTCCCTATCAGCCCTTTTTTCCTAAAATAAATACAACTATTTAGATCTAGCAGTTTTAAAAACCTATTACTCGCATTATGTCTTTAAATTAAACGTGAACTTGAATTAAATTGTGAATGTATAAAAGCTTAGATAATACAATATAAAATCATTGATGCTCTCATAATATATAGAAAAAATTACATAAAAATTGATAATTCAAAAAAGAAGTTTGGAAAGTGTATTAAAGAAATTGACTGCGGACAATAACAATTACAGTTTCCGTTAATATCTTTATTTACAATTATATATTAAATGTCAAACTTTAGTCGTAGGTTATGTTCACGTATCTATATCCATATCTTAATCAAATATCTGTAATTAAATCCGGTTTAGAATCCCATTAACATCATTGTAACGATCAAGATAATATTGTTATGTATTGGGATTCGCAATCAGTTTTTACCTGAAACTCTCGCAAGAAGAATGTAATTTCTCCTTGGACGAAGGGACGATGGTCGAATAACCTGCTCCAGATTTCGCCCGTGTCTACGAAAACGTGATCGCGTATGATACAAAGATTATGATAATGTTTAAACGGTAAAAATGTTCGTTTTTGTATTTATAGGGATACATATGTATGTATGATCATACAGTGATTGCCGCACCTTTGGTTATAGACGCCATATCTGTGTCAGGCGAGGAGTGGAAACAGAACAGACGGTGCATCGTCAGACACACGACACACCTTCGTCGTCACATGACTGGGTTGTGCCACTGCACTGATTGCATCGTCGTTGTACTGGGTGTCGCAGAATTGGCGAAAAACATTTGATAACATCGAGAAAATGTATTATAATTGTATTTTTGGATAAAAATATTCTGCGACAGTCTCATCGCTCGAAACCGACAGAATCTCATTAATAAAGACTCACTCTACTTCGAAAAAAATGTAAAGCTTTTATGTTAATTCTTAATAAAACTTATATTAATTCGAATATATAATTACGGACTCTCTCCTCGACATCACTGATGGAAAAAAAATTATTACTTTTCATCAACATTGATTATTGATTGTTTCATACGAGATTCGCAGCAAACTTGATTAGCGTGCAAATATTAAAGGTTTTTAAAATAAAACACAAGTTCATTAAAAATATACGCATATAGTATAATATTGAATATCCTGAATCTATTTTTTATCTACCTAGAATTTTAATTTTATATATATCAGAAAAGGTTTACATTTAATTGATAGATTTAATAGAATGGAATTATTCTTTCTTCTTAAGTAAATTATTTCTTAAATATGACAAAACGATTCCGTTTATTGTTTATAATTTCCAAAAAATTATAATTAAACTCTGATGGAGAAGATTTTTCGGGAATTAAGCTTTGAAGGTATATATAAATGGAATTTTAAAAAGGTGAATACAAAAGAGTCGAGTACACAGGATCGATAAAATGTCAAAACAATGCGTCCACGTGTGCTCCGTTTAATAGCGTTCACGTTCATGGAAATTTTGCGTACATTTTTTGCCAAAGCGACGGTATCGTTACGTAGATGATACGTACATACACATCAGTAAACGCATACACGCATTCGACATATTCTCGAGTTACATTCGCGCGACAATGATTATCGTTGTGAGAATGCAATGTTGAATATTGATGTAAAATTCGAATCTGTTGCGAAGAGGATGCCACGATTAACAATGGTATCACGTGATTATGCGTGCATTCCGTTGCGTGCATTTAGGGGAGGGTAGGAGTGATTACGCGGGTCTATATATATACCTATGCTACGTTCTGTTCGATCGTCCGTGATAATCGCGGTTTATTCGTGACGTGACGAGATCTAATTGAGGTGCAATGAAAAGAGCGGTGTATTTTGTCTTTATAATTGCAATTGCGCGTTTGGCAATGTAAGATCGTAATCTTAGAAAAATTTCAGTATTTTTAATGAATTAAAATAAAATAAAATAAAATAATGTCAATTTTTTTACAAAATTATTGATCTAACATAAATTATATATTCTTTTTTTCTTGAAAATTATTAATAGTAAATTAAAAGTTTTTTTTGCTAATCTGATAAAATCTTTTAAAAGCGTATAATGGATTTTATTTGTTTTTCATCTTGCAATCATTAATCTAATTGCAATTTTATGTTTGTTAAAAAATTCTACTCTTCAAGGCAAGAGGAAGTTACGAAGGGCGTTTGTAATTGTGCGGTATCCACTGTTCCGGCAACGGAACCGATAATACAACACACGCTTCCGTGCAATGTGAGTTGTGATCAAGAAGGTCTTGAGAAGTGTCAACAATTATGTATCGCCTTGGTGAATATATTCCTATATTATTTTCATACTATTTTTTATACATTTATTTTTCATTAACTATATTTTTTATTTTCTACTGGAGAGAATATATAAACGTATAAATGATTTAAAATAATAATTGCGATATTTCATTATTAAAAATATTGGAAGTCAATCAATGGAAAAAATAATATAGAAATAATAAATTTCTGTGCTCAGGCTGAAACCGTTCGAGATACAGTACCAATGCTGATTTGCGAGAAATTGGACACGCATGTCAACAAATTGAAAGTGAGCAATATATCTCATTTTTTTCTCATTTTTAAAATACGCACATAATTGTTTTCATTTAAAAAACTGGAGTAGAAAAATATGTATGTATCCGCTAAGCTTCTCTTCTAATTAGTGTTTATCTTTATGTAAAAAGTTTTGGATTTTTTAAAAGTATTGTTTCTGGTAATAAAAGCGTGACAAATTATCATTTTCTGTTTTTTTTTTGTAGGTAGCTTTATACATGAAATCATGTGATTTGTCTTTTTGGGCATTCACTGGTTTGGAAAGCGCAGAGCCTATCTGCTGTCACGAAGGGAAAGCAGTTACTTGTGATGAGATGATGACAATAGAAAATTAACGAGCTGAGAATCCAACTCATTATTTCTTGCTCATTTACATCATTAACGAATATTTTACGTAGTGCGAATACATCATATTCATAATTTTTAATATAAAATATTTGTAATTAGTAATTCCGTTTTGCAAATTTATATAAATTAACTAAATAAGAGAGCAATTATATATACACACGAATAATAAAATATATAAGCAACAATAGCAGATCTGCTAAATTTATTCAAAGAATGAATTCAAAGAATGTCATTTTGGGAGCGTTATTTGATATACATTTGTAATCTTTGTTGTCTTTAACAAAGCTCGGATACCAAGACTGAGACTGCCAAGAAATCTACCTACTACTGAAGTCTCTATACAGATGGTAAACCTTTAGCTTAAAATACAATAATATTGTTCTACGTCTCCAAAATATCTGATTCTTCTCGGAACGAAAGATCTGCACAATGAAAAAATTGTTTATATCCTGCCTCATATCTTTTTTGTGTAAAAAAAATTGGGTAAATTAATTTTTAAATAATATATGTTAATAAAATCAAAATAAAATGTAAAAAAAATGAAAAAGAAAAAGCGCATTTATTTTACAAATAATATCTATTTTGACGAGAAAGAAAATTTCAATCTCTCTCTCTCTCTCTCATCGAATATAATATTTATTTTTCCACTCATACGGGTATTCCATAATATTTATGACTTTAATGATAATTTCTTTGACAAGTTTAGAATAAATTTGTTCTTAGCAAAAAATTGTCGAGGTACTCTAATAGTTTTCGATATAAATTTAAAAATTATCAAGGATTTCAACTTATAAAATATAAGGATATAAACTTTTTTATAAATTTTTAAAAGTTACACAGATTTGCGAAAATTTATTTCTATTTATTCATACTTAAACTTTCAAGCTATTATAAAGAACTTGCTTCTTCTGATAAAGTATATTCTTTCTCTATAATCTTCATTTAATCCCTTTTCAGTTGTTCATCTTTCAAAATGTTAATTCAATTATATTCTTAATCTTTTATTCGCCACTTAAAAGTGATAATCTTTTATCCGCACCTAAAATAAATGTTGTAATAGAGATGTATAAAAGATATTTTAATTCTTTCAGAGAAAGATGTTTGATTGTTTTATTACTTGAAAATGTAATATACACAAAAAACATTCTTGAAATTATTAGAAATAGTTTTCGATAATACGAAATGTTTGTTTGATAAAAACGCAACGATCTGTTTTCCGCATTTTCCACGATATATTACGAGGCCAAGCGCCGATTATCGGTAGAGATTTAATCAAGCACTTGTGCTCTCTCGTGTAAAAGTCAAAGCTCGAAGGAGAGCATGCTTGAAAGCATTAAACGGTATTCGTTTTCAACCGAATCTCTTTTCGCAAAGTACAACTATCACGACCGACTATACAAGATGCATTGTCAGATACAGAAGTCATACATGCACATCCTTCGATGTGTACAATCGATCTTTCTTCGATAGAAATTTCAATAAAAATTTAATTATAAAATAATCGAATATTAAGAAAAGATCTGATATTTTCCTCTCCATTAAATTCCAGAAGAATATAACCAGAGTATAATAAAATCTTATCTTCGAGCCATCTCATCTTGTTTTAACAGAGATTTAACTTCAAACTTGTCAAGCAAGCTCGAAAGTATTGAGAGAAGTTACAATAAACAATAGTTCTTGATGAGAGTTTTGTTAAGATCGAATCGACTTTAAACTCGATCCGAGCTCGATTCCGACACTATTCTCACGTTTCATGATCTACCTATCCTGTATACGTCAGATACGTGGATCCTGCCCGTGTCCAAGTATAAACGTATCCTGAGTCCATTTCATCCACCGACTTGAGATACCCTCTATTTCGATGATAGCATTCTCAGAGAGTCTTGTCCCAGAAGCCACCGCATTGAATGGACGGTTTGTTATCGCTTTCCCTCTCTCCGATTTCCTGTAGACGAGTCCTCCTCCAAATTCCAACGCACTCGGTAGGTATATAGAACTCGCCAGTTGCACAAGCCATTGTGTAACCGAGGTTTTGTCGTCCATTCTTTGATCGATTTTAATGATTGCGCCATGTTCGAAGATGAGTTTTGATCGCGCAATTCCCGGATCGAGAGAGATACCCCCGAGCTTGTTCCCGGATCGATCGTGAATGATCGATTATGGAGTATCATAAAAAGATTCACTTTTTTTGCAAAGTAATATATCCTTCACCTCTTGACTACAATTATTTTTTCTTTTTGTTTAAATTTTCCAAAATTCTTAAAATTAATAAAAAAAAGAATGTTAAAATTTTGAAATTATCAATAAATGATCACTTATTTTCTGACTGCTATTTTCATGCTTTTACTTAATCATGGGGATTTTTTTTCTGTTTCGAATCCTCAGCATAATTCGAAATTGCCTGTAATTTTGTGCGAAACTCTCTATATAACGTAATTCAGAATTCATTCAGTAATATCTCTCTTTGCGTTCGCCCACATGCCGGTCTGTCGTACTGACATAATTAAATGAAACGGAAATTGAGGTGACTAATTGTAGGTTTCCGATTCAGTTCCTTCACTACGAGATATTATGTGAACACATGTACGCATAAACACGTGTGCCAATCGAATCCAGTTCTCGATTAAATCGATTCTTGCTCCCTTTCCATGTGCCGCGTCATATTTCACGTATCAAAGCTTGTAAAGAGGATCGATGTCTTCGTCATTAATATTCCCTCTGCAATACATGAGTATTAATCATTGGCGAACATCGACATCGTCATATG